GAGAGGGTTGGCGCCGGCCCGCTGCGCGTAACCGGCCCACAAAGAGGTCATACCAGAGGTCGCATAGCTGGACTCCTCATCCGTTCCCTCCAGCAACAAGCGACTGGAGGTACGGCTGCTGCCTGCAGGGGGCGCCATCAACCTGATGTTGGACAGAGAGCATCTCCAGGGGGAAACCAGCCCTTCCTGCAAGGTACTGATGGAGGTCTGAGGGAGAGAAAGAGACGGAGGATCTGCTGAGTTTATCTCATGGTAAAAACATCGGATCATCTGCAGCGTCTCAGGAGGCTGAGAAAAGGTTTAGGAGGAGCGAACAAGAAGCTGGAGGGATAAGATGATCAGAGGTGCTGAAGGAGAAACTCACTGAAATATTAATAAAAAGTAAAACTGTTAAAGAACTTTTTAGCATCTCAGTGTATTTACCTTCTTTAGATAAATAAAATGATAATTAATAAAAGTTATTATTTAATTAATTAATGAAAAGCTGACTGATCTAATCCGTCCAGCAATGATGGATTAATAAGAGACCATTTTCCTAAAAACTTGAGTTTTCTCTCTTATATCAAGAGGATCTTTCTATAATATGAAGAACTAAATATTTTTTAACAATATTCTGAATTTTAAAAAAGTGCATAGTTATATATTAACTATATATGGGCCAGGAGCATTAAATATTGGCTAAACAAAACAAGAACCCTTTAGGTCCAGGATCTTCAACGTTTTCCAGGCCAAGGACCCTCAAACTGATGGCGAGATGGAGTGGGGACCCCCTAATTATATATATATTATATATTTATATATATATAATTATTTTTTATTTTAACCAGGAAAAAAATCCCATTGGGATTAAAAACCTCTTTTTCAAGGGAGTCCTGGCCAAGAGGCAGCAAAGTTACGAAACCAACATAGATAAATTAAAATAAATGACAAAAGAAGAAGAAAAGAAGAAAAACAAAAAAAAAACATATCAAGGAAAACAATTACAGATCATTGAGACTGCTTCAAATTCTTGTACTTTAAACTTAAGAGAATTTAAAGATAAAAACTCCAGTTTCTTTGTAAAACCTTCCATGCACAAGGAGCTGCATAGCTAAAGGCTTTCTGTGAGCATTGATGACTGAAAGACATCTTCTGCCTCCATTTATCTGGAGGTTTACTACAGTGTGTTGAATTCATGTTAATATGTATTTAAAGCCATTTAAAGACATTTCAATTAGTGGAAAAAATTGCAGGGGGTTATATAAAAAAACTAATCAGCCCAAACTTTCGTGACCCCATTCAGTACCTCTGCGGACCCCCTAGGGGTCGCGGACCCCCTGTTGAAGACCTCCGCTTTAGGTTATTGAATATGAAGATGAATCTGTGAAACTTATGATTTTAAATACCGACAGGTTCACCTATGTGTGTGTTTATTACGCTGTTTAAAAACACTTCTGTAGAAGTTAGAGGATCAACTTCAGCTTTTTACTCCAGTAAAACTGTAAAAGTACCATTTTTAAAACTACTTAAAGTATAAAAGTAAAAGTAATGCAGAAGCAAGCTTTACTGCTCTACCATATTAAAGGAACATTTTTCTACATTTCTGGGTGATAACTTCCTTAGACTTAATTTTTTTAGTTTTATAACTAATGGTAACAGCGTCACATTTAACTTTGCATCATCTTGAAAAACTATTTATTTTGGTATGTAGTGAGCAACAAGTTGGGGCAGCACCGAGTCCAACCACAAAGAAATTAATTGTCTGGATGAAACTAATTATTTTAATGGTTTTTATTTCATTTAAATACCAACAGGCCATCATGAAAATGAGCTTAATTGAAACAAAACTAACGAGTCTATTTTTTAAAATGTTAGGAGTAGAAAGTAAAAAGTTGTCTAACAAATAAATACTCCAGTAAAGTATAGATGACCAACATTTCTACTTTAGTAAAATGTTTGTACTTTCTATTTTTGAACAGAAGAAGGACAAAGTATTTGTATTTTTTTTATTTAACGCCTCTGTTAACATTTAGGGTGTGTCGCTCCAACATACTGTCAGAATATTTACCTAATGTAGCAACACTGAAAATATTTCCATCCGACAACGAGAGCAGAGAACGAATCAGCTCAACTCTTCAGGAGAAGCTAATAAAAAACAAGATTTTAAGAAATCTGATGTTTTTTATTTCCAGACTGTTCACCTTTAGCAACACATGAATATTAGCATGTTGCTAAAGCTGGCCATACACTGTGCAGCATCACACTGGCATCTTAAAGTTTCCTGAACGCTCAGAGAGAAAAGTTGCAGCAATCTGGTTCTAAGATTAGCCACCAGATCCACTAAAGCTGCGATCGTCGCACGCAGCCATGGCTCAAACTGTACGACGAAACGGTGGGGTTTAAAGGTCACGATGTATGTTCTCACACTGTGCGACTCGACGCTCTGATTACCCAGTGGTGTCAAAAGTTCACACATTTGTTACTTCAGTAGAAGTATAGATCCTGCAGTTTAAAAACACTCTGGTAAAAGTTGAAGTATCAACTTGACCTCTTTACTCAGTAGAAGTGAAAAAGTATGTGCTCCAAAAACTACTTAAAGTATAAAAGTATAAAGGAACCTTTAATAAAAACAGCCAGATGCCACTATGTGAATTAAAAGCTCAATTTTCGACTATTTCTAAAAGTTTTTTGAGATAGGGCCAAGGATGAGGGAGGTCTTGTTGGTCTCCGTCTCCCGTTACGCTCTCGCCTGTGTCCGACCTTGCAGACATTTCAATGCTCCTGTGTAATATCTTTATTTGTAAATATCTCATACAACGTGGGAAACCTGCGGCTTAAAATCCGGTGCGGCTTATAAAAGCACAAAATTGATTTTCTTTCTAAAATTAGAGCGTGCGGCTAATAATCAGGTGCGCTCTATAGTCTGGAATTTACGGTAATTAAACCATCTCGTTCTCCTTCACACTGAAGGAACGTCTTCTGTTTATTTTCCATTTAGCCTAAACAACTTAAAAGGAAATAAAATCTCATTTTGATATTCTTAGCAGCAGAACTAATTGTAAGTTCTGTGTTAAATGAAAGTCATTAAAGCATTTCTAATTTTTAAGTCACATTAAGTTATTACCTGCAGCAGAGTGACGCCTATATATAAAAACCCGCTTGTTTCCAAAGATGTAAAACAACCAAACGCAGCATGAAACATTCACAGGAAACTAGACGGTATTTGCACACTTCAGGGTTTTTCTGTCTCTGTTCTGCAGGCCGCAGATAAACCGCAATCGAGGCCGACCTGAAGTTTCCAAACCGAGCGCTGACATGCCCACCGTGCTGCTTTCCTGTTGTTCTCACACACGTTCACTAAAATAAGCTCAATTTTAGAACAAGTAGTCTAACAGCTACTTGTTCTCCTCCGGTCTTAAATAAAACACTTCTTACACATTACATTGATTTAGATTTGAAATAAAACCTCTTTTTAAGGTAAATCTCAACTGATAAGCTGATGAACTGACTGATGTCAGTGTTTGCTCCTCTGCAGATGAGTGATGAATGTACAGATGGGAGGATGGCAGCTATGTTGCTTCAGAGAAGCAGCAGATCTAACGAGGGGTTAATAAACCAGATTGAGTTGAACCTCCCTGTGAGGACAGAGGTTTGCTTTCAGAGTTCTTCCTCGAGGTTAACTTCCTGTCAGAAACCACGGCTCTGTTTGTGCTTTTTAAACAGAAACTCATGAGGCGGCTTTCTGAGAAACCTTCTAGAGCCGCCGCCTGGTTTCTTTAATCCACGGCTTTACTGAGACAGATGCACATGTAGCTCAGCATACTGCGTCAGGCCAGCATGCAGCCAGTAATACACATTACAAAGAGTATCCTCTGCCTCTGCTCTCCTTACAGCCAATCGTGATTTTTATTTCTGATTTAGTCGGGTTTTTGTCGTACTTTTGTGCATAAAACAACCAAACAACTCCTTCACTACGTCCACCACACAGTAGCTTTATAATAAAAAACATTGCAAGGCTGTTTGACGAGGATCTTCAGGGTTTATACAGGAATGAGTAACTCTAATTTAATGCTTTTTAAAGCTATTTTAATGCTCTGAGAAATAATTTTAATCACAACAAGTACCCATGATTCTTCTATCTATCTATCTATCTATCTATCTATCTATCTATCTATCTATCTATCTATCTATCTATCTATCTATCTATCTATCTATCTATCTATCTATCTATCTATCTATCTATCTATCTATCTATCTATCTATCTATCTATCTATCTATAAAAACAAGGCCAAATCCTTCGTCATCTTTACCGTCGACAGGCTGCAGTCATATCCCAAATTCCTTGTTTTTCAGCAACTATTTCCATTTTCCATTCCCTAGGTTTTTCTCCGCCTTCAGCTTCTTTTTTCCGAACATACGGCTTTACGATCAACTGCAAAAACTCGGACCAGATAAATCTGATATATCTGAGGAAATTGTTTGTATAAACGTTTGTTTTTGTAATAAATTATTTTAAATGCCACTATAATTACATTTAATACATTTTAAAGCCAATTAAGGCCTTAATTTAAAAAAATAATAATTTAATGACCCCTGGAAACCCTGATCTTCATCTCTGGGATTTTTTTCACAGAGAATTAAGTATTTATAGGGAGAAGATTATATAACTTAGTTGACAGTAGGGTTGTCAAAAGTATCTATACTAAAAAAAGTATCGCTACTAAAAACGTTGTATTCGGATACAATACTCATTTTCAAAAGTATCGATACAGTGCCACCACCAGTGGCACCTAATCAGTCATTCGTCTAAAGAGCAGAATAGAGGACAATGTATAATTCTACGCACTTTTCAGTTTCAGACTTTTTTTGTAACAGGTGCAGCTGCTGAGAATGATTTTTGTTTCTTAACCGGTTTGGCTAGCGTCATTGCTATGTGTGCAAAGCATAGCCAAGGAAGGAACACAGGAAGTTTTTTATCAAGCTTGCTTAATATTGTGCACAGCAAACAACCTCAAAATATTGTTCTTATTGTTTATTGTATTTATTTATTGTATTTTATTTATTAATGCAAATATTTCTGTTGAATTTTGGAGTCTTTGTTTTATCCTTTTGGTATCGAAAATGGTATCGAGTATCGAATATTTTCCTTAGTATCGGTATCGAGTTGAAAAGTTTAGTATCGTGACAACCCTAGTTGACAGGATTTGAAGTTTATTTGTTTTTAGTTTGTTTAATATGAGCGACATGCGGATCATTTTATTTTTATTTTCTTATTTTAACAGTACTGAAGAACTGCTGCAATTATTTTCAGATTACACATAAATAGATTAATTAAATCCACTGGGGAAAAGGAATGACTTTCAGGTTAGGATTAGGATTCACTCGGTGGTAACAACCTACTGAGCCTCCTGGCATAATCTGAAGCCGTTCATTGGGACGGATACCCGCTAATAACGATGATTACTAAGGGTATGCTAGCCTGGCTGAGCGGACAGAATCAAAAACATGGAGTTCTCTATCGTGGAGGAAACAAAGATATCGTCTGAGTGGAGAAGCTCTGCTAGGAAGCAGCTTAACGGATGCCAGTTTGACCAGTTTGTTTTTTATTAAAGGTCATGAAGAATCCCACCTTCCTCCAACATCTGTTCGGTGCCTCTAGTTTAACTCAGCTGGTTTCTTCTCTTTTTTACAGAACGTAGCGCCAACTAGGAGATAGATATCATAATTTAAAATCTAGATTCTGGTTCATTCTATTCCTGTTTTAGACTCTGAGACTTTAATAATGAAACAAAATGCTAATTTTACCACTGAGCAACTGTTGCTTTTGAACTTTTTCCTTCCACTAAACTTTCTAGGAACATGCTAATACTATTTCACTCTATACTGATATTCTTAGATGCTGAATTTGAGTTTTAACTCCAGAATCCACACTTTCAGCATCAGAAATAGAAAATACAGATTTTATTTTTTATTTTTTAGTTATAACGGCACTAGTGGCTCGTTTTTTTAGAAATTAGGCTGACAGGAAAAGGGGAATTCCAGAGGGGGAAAGACATTCAGCAAGACACAGGTCGGATTTGAACCCGGGGTCGTGCTCGCTAACCATTGTACCACCGAAACACGCCTGGAATACTGAACCTTTAAATAATACACTGGAAAAAATCAAAATCTAGATAAGTTATTTTTTCTTAATATAAGTGCATTTGTTCTTGGATTGAGGAAGAAAAAGAGACATTTTGCCAATAGAACAAGACAATTTACATTTAAAATAAGAAAACACAATTGGGTTCTCTTTTTTCAAGTGCATGTTATCTCATTATTTTATTTTAAGAGTAAAAATACTCATTCCATTCCGTTTACCTTTTCAAATTAAGGGAAAATACAGTTGATTTAAGAAATGTTTAACTTATTTCTAGATCGTTTTTCCAGTGTATTCTCATTGTTTTATAAACTTTATTATCTTGTTTCAGATCTTAAAACTGGCTGCTGCCATTTTTCTGCTGTGCTTCTGGAAGCGTTTGACTCACCAGGACCGACGGCATCAGGTTCCGTTTCAGACAGACGGATGGACAGATGGAACCGGTCCAGGTCAGCAGAGCCAAGATGGCGACCAAAACCAGCAGCAATAAACACAGCAAGCAGGCGATCAGCGAGTCTGCAAGGAGGACAGGTTACTGGAACCAGGAATCTCTTCCTCTCTTAATTAGGTGCTGGTTAGAGCTACTTCCTGACTGGTAACCTGGGTTACAGTTCAGTAATTGCTCTGGGATGTTAGTCACCCGTAAGCTTATAAATAGTGTTGCAACGATACCTGGCTTTGCAATATCTGCTCATACCATCTGATTGAAATGGATGTGTGTGTAATATGAAGAACTGCAGACTACTGTGATGTAAAATAATCACCATCATGGCTTTTGTCAAGCTGCTGCCTACCTTTGTGAAGCAGGAAAAAGACTAATAAAGTGAATCCAGTAGAACTTTTTATTGCCTACCTGGAATGGGTGACGATAGGGATGCACGATATAATCGGCCCCCTATCGGTATCGGCCTTAAAACTGAATATCGGACATCGGCCACCCCACCGATATTTAACCCGATATTTGATCAGCTTCTGAGTTTCTAAAGTCTAAAAAAAAAATGAAGTACTGCTTCTTCTTCTTCTTCCTCAAAAACGTATTTTTTACAGACTTAAAAACTTCTAAAGACGAGGGAAAAAATATTGATCCATTAAAATATCCCAATATCTTCATATGCTGATATATTGCCATTTAAAAACACCATATCAATCTCTTTTACTAATGAAATATTGCTATATGTCATCGTTATGCTACGAAATCCCCCGAAAATTCACGAAATGTGGCCATATTTTTATATGTTGATATATTGACGCGGTATCGATCTATTTTACTAACAAAATCTCACAAGAATTTGCAAAATATCACGAGAGTTTGAAACAGAACGATGAAATTTCACGAGATTTTGAAAGAAAAATAGATCGATACCGCGTTTTAAAAATCAATTTGATATCAGCATATGAAAATATATTTGAGTTTATTATTTTTCAAAGTGTCAGAAATGGATAACAAAACTGCTATTTTCAATGACTACTTATTTTTGTCCAGCTTTAACATCAGTATCGGTATCGGTTATCGGCTACATGAGTTTGAAATATCGGATATCGACCAAAATCCCAATATCGTGCATCCCTAGGTGACAATAGTTGAAGAAACGTTTGGCTCTTAAAATGGTATCGGTGCCCTATTTGTTGGTACTAGCAGGTACCGATACCTCCATTTTAGGGCAGTATTGGGCCCTGTCCGATACCGGTATCGGTGCAACACTACTCATAAACATCAGAAAACATTCAGTTAAAACAATCCAATCTGAATTTCTTAAAATTATTCCACATTTTTGGTGGAACTAGCTCTATGCACAGCTCATCTACTTCCTGAACTTCAACAGTTCCTTTATTTGCCGTTTTTCATCACTGGACAAACTAAATACTCCAGATATGTTTGGCCATTGTCGTCATGGTTACTGAGGCCAGACACACCTGGATGAATCAGTCTGTCCGGTGAAGAAAGACAGAGAAGTGTGAGGGACAGGAAGTGGTGGAGCTGGCTGTAGAGCTCATTGACCCCCCTAAGCTGGGGAAGTCTTTGGAGGTCTTCACCTCCATGAAAGCAGAAGCCTGGTGGAGAAAGAGGAACAGGAAATGGACCCACCTGAGGGAAGTTTCCACGCTGGGTAAATGCAAACAGGTTGGCTGAAGTTGGACTCCAAGGCAAGTAATTTGTCAGCGATGCGGAAGGAGAAGCAGTGCGTTCTGTCCAGGGCCAGGTTCGACACGTCGTGATTCAGGCTCCAGAATTCCTGGGGGTCCTGAGGACGAGACGTTGCTCATTAAACGGATCAGAACCTTTACAGCTGCAAACTGGATTAGGATTAGTTTCCTGGTTGCCTGGTGGTCTGAATAAATAATAAAAACCTTTTGTTTGAAGCAGCGGGCAGATCAAAGCATTTTTTCAAACCTTACTGTTAAACTTTTCTATCTCTATAATCATTCTTTCTCTCTTCTCCCATTCTGCAGCATTCATTCAAACCCTAGCTTGGTTCTGTTTGGCTGTGACACCATCTTCATCAATAACTTTGGTTATAGATAATAGATGAGCTGGGTCTGCCTTTAAGTCTTTAGTTTCTCCTACAAATAGCTATGGGCTCAGCTTTAACTGTGACTAACTGGATGTTCTCTCTTTGGTAATTAAAGTAAGTAAATCCTGCAAAGTTACTGGATGCAATCAGCTGGAAAACTTTAATCTGACCAGATGGTCTGGTTTAATTGTCTTTCTAAAGTGTCCTGATAGGAAAAATGTTGTGAATTGGTGCTACATTAATACATTTAACTGGGTTTATGGCTCTTTATACTTTTTTTAAATTAGTAGAAATGTTCTTTATTTGAACCCTGAACTTGCAAAAAATGCCTCTATGTCTCCTGAAAATATATCGTGCATTTTCACAGACCCCTCTTCTCCTCATTTCCTGTGATTTCTCTATGCAGATGATGTTCCACGATAAAACGCGCCTGCAGACATGAAGTCTGAGTCTGACCTCCACAGGCTGCTGCTGTTATTAAACTAAAAAACAAATATACAGTATTTTCACGACTATAAGGCGCATATAAACGTCTTTTTTCCCTCAAAATGTGCGGCGCACCCTATGTGTGTTGTTACTGCGGACGTTGTTGAGACCGCCATGAGAACGTTAAAGGGGAAGTGTGGGTGATGGATTGTGATTTTTAGGAGAAAGACTTTGCCTAAAGAGACTTTTCCAGCTGGAGTCGTTATTAAGGCAAATGAAAAGGGCTGGATGGACGAGGAGATGATGAAAGAGTGGCTGAATGTAAGGAGACCAGGTGGTTTTTTCCACGCATCACCATCGCTGTTAATCTGTGACTCCATGCGTGCCCATCTCACAGCCGATGTGAAAAACATGGTGAATCAAATGGACGCTGTGCTCGCCGTTATCCCGGGAGGTCTGATAAAGGAACTTCGACCGCTCGACATCGGTGTGAACCGGCCGTTCAAAGTAAGGCTGCGAGCGGCGTGGGAGCGACGGATGACAGACAGAGACCACAGTTTCACGAAGAGTGGAAGGCAGCGCCGGGCAAGTTACGCCACAGTTTGCGGATGGATTGTTGATGCTTGGACTAACGCGTCTGCTGGCTCTGTTGTTCCAGCTTTCGCAAAAGCCGGCATCATTTCTGAGGAGCCGCGCGGCACGGAAAGCGACTCTGACAGCGCAGAAGGGGAAACTGGCATGTCTGATTTAGCGCAGCTGTTTAATTCAGAAACAGAGGATGATGACTTTGATGGGTTTGATTAATACTTTGTAATAAATACATGAATAAAGCACAAACATACTCAGTTTTGCTCCCGCTCTATTTTTAAATACGCAGTAGAAGTATTTAAATGTAGTAGAGGATATGTACCGGTATATAAAACCGCGCCCTATAGTCCGGTGCGCCTTATGGTCGTGAAAATACGGTAATAGAGATTTTTTTTTCTTATTTTAGCCATAAATCATCTCATTCCATTGCTGAATTTTTCCAGTTAGCTGCTCAAATCACTAACATGTAATTTTTAGTTGTGCAGGTAGTTGGACAGCTTCCAGAATCCAGAAGTTCGGCTGTAAAGTCTGGGATCTGATGATGCTTCCAAACCGTTTCTCTAATGAACTGCGGCTATAAAACAGGCTCAACTTGTTCATTTTATTCCCGTTCATGAGATGATTAACTGGATGGGATCAGCATCCTCTAACCTGAACCTGTAACAACAGGCTCACAGGAGGCATCCAACCTGAGGGGTTGAAATGGTGCGGCGCGGTGTAACAGCTCGGTATTAAGGACTTTAACCCCCCCCGATATAAATCCTTCAAACGCCACCATAGAGTGGAACGGCTGTAACGGTTCAACAGGCAGCGGATTATAGAAGATTGTGACATTTTCTATTATTATCTTTCTACAGCGCCTTTAAACGGCTGCAGCCTCATCTGTCCCCTTTCTGCATGTAGATACTGTTTTATTAGCTGGTTCCCAGCCCACAGAGGCTTATTAGATACTAGACAAACAAGATGATAACAGGTTTTAAGCAACTTAAAATCTATAAAGCTCAGATAGGATAAGGCACACTCTGCCTTCTGCCAACAGTTTTACAACTTTAAATATCATCATCATCTGGAAACCAAAACAAATCTGCATTATTTATCTTTATGCGCTCAAATAATAATAGTCTGAGATGATAGTAAAGAGACGATAAAGGAGGAAATGATTCCAAAAAAAGTTCAAAATCAATCCACTGGACTTTGTTTCCAAGTTTGAAGACGTTTCTCTTCCCATCCAGGAAGCTTTTTCAATCCTAAATGTCAGGAATAGCGTTGAGTTCCAGGTTTTATACAGCAGCCCAACAAAGCCTTGTTTTAGTTTAGAAAACATTAAAAATTGAAATGGACGGACAGGTCCAGCCCTTTGGAATGAGGGCCGACAAAATCTTCAACCACCTTAAGGTCAGAGAGCAAATAGGCGAGGTGCCTGAGAACCCTGGGAGCCTTTTTCCACTTGGATCCCCGCTCTTTTTGGCCCTCATGTCCCTCCGTTGTCGCACAAACTTGCCCCACCTTCCTCGCTGCCTCAGCCGTATCGAGACCCACAGCTAGTTTCTGATTGTCCCTCTTGCGTTGTGGCGTGGAATATTGAAAAATGCTTCAATATTGGGCATAAATCAAAAATATCTGCGACAAGCTCACTGCGACAGGAGGATAACCGGCCATTTAGCTGCCGTCTGCCCCTTGCAGCTGATTTCTCGCGTTCTGACTGCATGTGAGATAATGAAGCATTGACATCCTTGGTGCCATTCTAAATTTGTTTTCTTTTTTTACAAATGCGGCAAAATGATCCTTCCCGCCGACAGGCTGCAGCCACGTCCCAGATTCCTCATTTTCCAGCCACTTTGTTTAAACTTGCATTTTCTCATTCTCTAGCCCAGCGGTCCCCAACCACCGGGCCGGTACCGGTCCGTGGGTCATTTGGTACCGGGCCACACAGAAAAATAAATATATATATATATATATATATATATATATATATATATATATATATATATATAATGTATCGACGATCAGAGTCTGAGTGATGTTTTATTTTGAAAATTGCTGTATTCTCTCCCAATTCCATCAGTCGGTGCATCTGTGCCTCTTGACACAGGTTAATTCAGGTCAAGACTCATCCTATCTATAACATCCGATCTTTGTGAGGCGGGATTTTCTGCGGTTACAGCGACCAAAACAAAGCTACGGAGCAGACTGGACATCAGGAGCACACTTCATCTGTTATTTTCTCTAATTAAGCCTAGATGGGACCTGCTTGTTGTTTAATTTTAATGCTGTTTGCATTTGATGTCATGCCAGTCGTATCATTTTACTTGATCGTATTAACCCCCCCCCGGTCCGTGAAAATATTGTCTGACATATAGCGGAGCGTGGTGCAAAAAAGGTTGAGGACCGCTGATCTAGCTGCTACACTTCTTTTTCAAACATGCTGCTTTACGACCAACTGGAAGCAGGAGTCAAATATATTTCATACAACAAATCTGTCAAAACTGTTTTAAAACATATATTTCTTTTAAAAATTAATGCAATTTTTTTGCTACCGATTTTAATGCCCTTTTAAAAAAAGTTTATATAGTGACTTTAAATTAGGGCTGCAACCAATGATAATTCTGCAAATCGATCAATCTGTTGGATTAATAATCTGATAGCCAAAGGTTCATTGAAGAAGATTTTTAAGAACTTAAACCAGGTGAAACTAAAACGTTAGTTCTGAATAGAGCATATTGACAGAGGAAAAAGTCTTTTTTATATCTTAGATGCAAAATTTTCATATATTTTTTTTACAATTGTCTTACAATTGCTGCTCTAAGTGCGTTGCTCTGTCAGCTAAAGGTCTATTTTACAGTCTCTGTACTCAATTTAACGATTAATTGACTAAATTAGTTGACGATTATTTCAATAATCGATTAATCCGGTTAATTGTTTCAGCCCTACTTTAAATGCTTTTTAATGAGCCACAGAAACCCTGTTTGATTTAAAGTCTTGTACTCTAAATGTGAATAAAGTACGGAAGAGGATTAGGGCCACTGAAAAAAAAAAAAAATGTTACCTGATTTTTTTAATTTTATTTCAGTATAGTATGGGAAAAAATTTCAGAATTCTGACTTTTTTCTCAGAATTCTGAGATTAAAGTCAGAATTCTTTTTTCAGTGGCCCTAACCCTCTTCCGTAATAAAGCTACAGAAACATAAAGTGAAAGAAAAAAAATAGTAAAAAAAAGAAAATCATTAAAACACCAGAATCTAAAACAACACGTTCAACATTATCAGTCGTAGTTCGCAGCTCTACCTGATGGTCAACCCGGATCTCGTAACGGATTCTGTTATAAATCTCCCAGAGGTTCCGGTACGGAGGCAGAAGTTCCACGCAGAAGATGGAGCCGCAGAGCGTGACTTCGATCTCGGGCGGAGGAAGGTGAGCTGGAAAAGCAGAGACACAATCACCAGACTAATTCATCGCTACTCAAACCCCCATCTGCTGAAAGCTCATCTTAAATACAATACATGCTGGATAATTAAACCTGCTATGAGGCTCTAATTAAAGGAGCCATCAGCTGTAAATCTGACTTTCTCACCTGCGTTGGGCTAATACTAGCTCCACATGAACCCACTCATTCACAAGTCAATCATGCGCCCCTCCCCAAGGAAAGAAAATACCATGAAAGGGAGTCAGAACAAGCTCTACACTGCAAAAAAATCTAAATCTAAATAAGTCATTTTTCTTAAAATAAGTAAAATTTTCCTTGAATTGAGGGAGTGAGACACTTTTTCAATGGACAAGACAATGACATTTAAAACAAGAAAAAACAATTGCTTTGTCTTATTTCAAATGCATTATATCTAATTATCTTATTCTAACCGTGAAAATTCTCATTCCGTTGGCAAATCATCTTAGTTACCTCCTTAAATTAAGGTTAAATCCACTTAATTTAGGATTTTTTTTTAACTTATTTTTAGATTGAATGGTTAAAAACATGAATTTAAAGATATTTTCTGGGGGATTTTATAAGTAAAACACCAGGTAAGGACTCCAGGAGTAAATTAAAGGAGGGTCTTTAATCCCAAGATGGTTTTAATTCTGACATCCCTAAAGTCAGAATATTTTTTAAAGTCAGAATTCTGAGATTAAAGTCAAAATTCTAAGATTAAAGTCAGAAATCGGAGATTAAAGTCAGAAATCGGAGATTAAAGTCAGAATATTTTAAATTAAAGTCAAAATTTTGAGATTAAAGTCAGAAATCGGAGATATAACTGAATATTTTGATTAAAGTCAAAATTCTGAGATTAAAGTCAGAATATTTTGATTAAAGTCAAAATTCTGAGATTAAAGTCAGAAATCTGAGATTAGTCAAAAATCTGAGATTAAAGTCAAAATTCTAAGATTAAAGTCAGAAATCGGAGATTAAAGTCAGAAATCTGAGATTAAAGTCAGAAATCTGAGATTAAAGTCAGAATACTGAGATTAAAGTCAGAATTCCAAGATTAAAGTCAGAATTCCAAGATTAAAGTCAGAATTCCAAGATTAAAGTCAGAATTCCGAGATTAAAGTCAGAATTCCAAGATTAAAGTCAGAATTCCGAGATTAAAGTCAGAATACTGAGATTAAAGTCAGAATTCCAAGATTAAAGTCAGAATTCCGAGATTAAAGTCAGAATACTGAGATTAAAGTCAGAATTCTGAGATTAAAGATTAAAGTCAGACTTCTCATATTAAACTGAAATAATATTTAAAAATCAGTAAACTATTTTTTTTCCCAGTGGTCCCAGTAATCCTCCCCCTTACTTCCCAGACCTTTCCTACTGGGATTGTTTCTATATTCCAGCCTTTACTGGTTCAACACGTAGAAAAACAATTCGGTGGATGTGGTGTTTGAAAATCACTTGGTGCCAAACATGGCGGCGCTCTGTCCTGTTGCAGTTTTAAAACAAAGGAGCTGGAAAATCAGCAAATCCAGAAGGTCCATTACTAAAGTTGAGTTTAGAAATTAAAAACCGAGAAGCACTTGAAGAAAAACGTGTTTCTGGTCCAAAGAGGACGGAAGAAGACTCACCCAAAGGTTTGTAATCTTTAAGGACGGCAGGCTGGGATCTCTGGCCCTTCAGCTGAGCTTCCACCTGGATTTTAAAGGTCTCTGTGTATTCTTGGAACGCCTCAGTCAGGTTGCAGGTCAGCAGTTTCTGGACCTGCTGGCAGCCGGATACTGGTTCCCACTTTTTATTATTCCTTCAGAGGCCACACAGAAAAACAAACATCAGGGTTAGATTGAATCTGAGCATCTCCTGTCTGAACTGACCACAGATCTGATCCTGTTGGATCAGGGTTTGTTTGATCCATCAAGGCCTGACGGTATCTGAAGGCGTGGGGGGGGTTTGGAAACCATCAGCATCACAGACAGTCCCCACATTACAGAACAAAACACAGCAGATCTGACTTTTCACCCACAGAAGCAGGACTTCTAGATCAGGGGTAAATTAAAAACCAGCAATCAGCAACCAGTAAAGGTCCGGAGACATTTTTAATGGATTGCTACAGACATAAAACCTCTAGAGATATATTGATTGAGAAAAATGTTCAATACTTATTTACCCTGCTGTACATATCAACTTCTATCTGATGCAGTAATATTTCCAGTTGTGGTGTTTTCCCCAAAAAACCCACATTTAAGTCTAATTTAGTAATTTCTCTTTTTTTTATTATTAATCTTTATTTAAAGATTGCCTGGGAATATACAAAAGATGTTCTCTGAAAGGGAGGGAGGGTACGATTTAAGGGGAAATTTTAAGATTAATAGATGTAGAACAACAAGGGAAAGATTATGTTTATCAATTAGCGGAGTTAAATTGTGGAACAAACTAAATGAGAACCTAAAGCAATGCCCAAACATATTCCTTTTCAAAAAAATGTACAAAGAAATTATTTTCAGAAGGTATAGAGAAGCATTGTAGAAAGTTTTGTTTGTGTTTTTTGTTTTGTTTATTTGTATATACACTCACCGGGCACTTTATTAGGTACACCTGTCCAACTGCTCGTTAACACTTAATTTCTAAGCAGCCAATCACATGGCGGCAACTCAGTGCATATAGGCATGTAGACATGGTCAAGACAATCTCCTGCAGTTCAAACCGAGCATCAGTATGGGGAAGAAAGGTGATTTGAGTGACTTTGAACGTGGCATGATTGTTGGTGCCAGAAGGGCTGGTCTGTGTATTTCAGAAACTGCTGATCTACTGGGATTTTCACGCACAACCATCTCTAGGGTTTACAGAGAATGGTCCGAAAAAGAAAAAACATCCAGTGAGCGGCAGTTCTGTGGGCGGAAATGCCTTGTTGATGCCAGAGGTCAGAGGAGAATGGCCAGACTGGTTCGAGCTGATAGAAGGGCAACAGTGACTCAAATAACCACCCGTTACAACCAAGGTGGGCAGAAGAGCATCTCTGAACGCACAGTACGTCGAACTTTGAGGCAGATGGGCTACAGCAGCAGAAGACCACACCGGGTGCCACTCCTTTCAGCTAAGAACAGGAAACGGAGGCTACAATTTGCACAAGCTCATCGAAATTGGACAATAGAAGATTGGAAAAACGTTGCCTGGTCTGATGAGTCTCGATTTCGGCTGCGACATTCGGATGGTAGGGTCAGAATTTGGCGTCTACAACATGAAAGCATGGATCCATCCTGCCTTGTATCAACGGTTCAGGCTGGTGGTGGTGGTGTCATGGTGTGGGGAATATTTTCTTGGCGCTCTTTGGGCCCCTTGGTACCAATTGAGCATCGTTGCAACGCCACAGCCTACCTGAGTATTGTTGCTGACCATGTCCATCCCTTTATGACCACAATGTACCCAACTTCTGATGGCTACTTTCAGCAGGATAATGCGCCATGTCATAAAGCTGGAATCATCTCAGACTGGTTTCTTGAACATGACAATGAGTTCACTGTACTCAAATGGCCTCCACAGTCACCAGATCTCAATCCAATAGAGCATCTTTGGGATGTGGTGGAACGGGAGATTCACATCATGGATGTGCAGCCGACAAATCTGCGGCAACTGTGTGATGCCATCATGTCAATATGGACCAAACTCCCTGAGGAATGCTTCCAGCACCTTGTTGAATCTATGCCACCAAGAATTGAGGCAGTTCTGAAGGCAAAAGGGGGTCCAACCCGTTACTAGCATGGGGTACCTAATTAAGTGGCCGGTGAGTGCATGTATGAAGGTATATCTGTATACACATTTATGTATGTATATGTGTAGGTAGGTGTGTATTTATATGGATATATATATGCCAACATAATTATAAATATTGTAAATTGAAGAAATACAAGAATTAAAGGAGGAGCACATAAGTTTTACTTCTTCCTACATGTAATAGAGGTATATTAACCCAGGAAAGAAGGGTACCTTGTTTGTTGTTTTCTCTCCAATGTTTTTAAACATTGTTTTATTGTTTTTCTCTTGCATGTTCAAAATAAAGAATAAAAAAAAAATTTAAAAAAAGATGATTCAATAGGAAGTAAAACCATTCAGACTCAGAATATTAATAGATTCTGGGACTGATTATTTTTATTCATTTAGTTCAGGTGATTCACTTCATGATTTAAAACAATTGAGGTGTGAGAATCTGGCCCAGATGGTAAACATGACGGGACCTGTTTCTGTTTACGACACGTCTCCTGAACAACAACCTCCTTAAGGATCTCGTCTCATTTTGTTTTTCTCTCCAGAGCCAAACAGCCTGCAGCGGGTTCCACGGCCACCTACCTTTGGGTTTGAACACGGAAAGAGGTTTCAGGCGGAGCTCCTGCCCCGCGTTCCCATCTCAGGAAGTAACCTGAATGATCCAGAGTCACCCTGACCTCGGAGGGCGGTGGGAGCTCGCTCACAGCTGGAAAACAAACAGCCAAAACAGAAAAGTCTGGATGAATTCAACATTTTTAACAGGAGTTTTTCCAGGCAACTAAGATTTAAAGTCAGAGGGGGTAAAAACCAAGTGGTTTTACCTCATAATCTGTTATTAAATCACTGTTTTGTGCCACCATTTTATTTTATTCTGGACTTAATTCTGTAGTTTATTTAGATTTTTAAGGTATTGTCATATTTTCTCCTGGTTCTAACCTCAAACTTTTTATTTTAATGATATTTTCGCCCTTACCACATTGCGTTTGTTTTTGAAATATTGAATTTAGTCTGGATTTTTATTTGTGTTTTTACCCTGGCATTGCTCTGGTTTCAGATTACTGAAGGAACCTCTGCTGTCAAAGATAACCAGGCTTCAATCAGTCAATCATTAACAGATATATTTATGAGTGAGGCCGTTTTAGGAAGATGACGCCTCATTAGAAGAATAGTTAGAAAAACAGGAGGTTTGAAGGGACTTAAGAACAAATCGCTCTTTAAAAGAAAACAGCAGCTTGGTTTGGGTCAGAGAGGGTTCTGGAGAACCACATCCTTCCATTTGCTCTGATCTTCATGTGATCCAGAATCCTTCGTCAGATCTTAAAACTCCACTTGTTGTTTCAGGGCAGGTTGTGAGGAAAAGAGGAAAACTAGGATATTTTATGTTCCCAGAACTTTTGTGTTTTATGGAGTTTTTGATTTACTGAAGGTGAAAAATAGTTTGAACTAAAGGAAATTTCAGAATCAACCGTTTTACTTTGACTTCTTTGATACTTTGATTAAAGGCAGAATTCTGAGATTAAAGTCAGAATACTGAGATTATTTGCTCTGATCTTCATGTGATCCAGAATCCTTCGTCAGATCTAAAAACTCCACTTGTGGTTTCAGGGCAGGTTGTGAGGAAAAGAGGAGAGGGACCAAGTAGCACTAAATTGTTGACTTAGAAAAGACGCTGTCAAGGAACGCTATGGACAGCGGAAACATGCAAGAGGAGGAGAGTTTAGTGTCGGAGGTCGTGGATGAGTCTCCTCCGTCATCCATTTTTTATTTAGAGGAGGAAAGCGGGGACGAAGATGTTGTGGAAGAGGACGCCAGGGCGGCAGAAGCTTGGTTTGGTGTAGAAGGCTTCCAGCCGTACATGTTTGAGCCCTTGCCTCGCAACGCTGCCAGTTCTGTTAGCTCTACGCCTGCCGAAGACACAGACGTCCATCCCCGTGAACACTGGGACGGAACGCAATGGGAAAGGAAAGGATTCTGATTTCAAAGGACTTCAGCCTCCTCAGGAAGAAGAGTCGGCTTTGGCACTTTTCGTAGACCGCCTCGGTGTTTCTAGTCCAGTCCAACTTATTGTTAAAGTCCACTCCCAGGTAGTTATACTCCTCCACAGTGTCAACAGGAACCCCCTGGATGGAAACAGGGGTCACAGGTGTTTTTGTCCTCCTCAGATCCACTATGAGCTCCTTAGTCTTTGTCACGTTGAGCTGCAGGTGGTTCAGCTCACTCCAAGTGACAAAGTTGCCCACCACAGGCCTGTATTCACTCTCCTCACCCCTTTCAATGCAGCCAACAATTGCTGAGTCATCAGAAAACTTCTGAAGGTGGCAGGGCTCAGAGCAATAGCTGAAGTCTGAAAAGGGTGAAGAGGAAGGGGGAGAGGACAGTCCCCTGAGGGGCCCCAGTGTTGCTGACCACCCTGTCAGACACACAGTTCTGTAGGCGTACATACTGCGGTCTGCCCGTCAAGTAATCAACAATCCAGGACACGCAATCATCTTCTCACCTAGTAGAGCCGGGCGGATGGTTTTGAAGGCGCTGGAGAAATCAAAGAACATGATTCTCACTGTGCTCGCCGGCTTGACCAGAAGAGGCGGGGCTGGTAGGCGAACTGTAGTGGATCAGTGAAGGGCCTGACCATGGGCCTTAGCTGCTCCAGGACTAGCCTCTCAAAGGTCTTCATGACATTAATATACATGTTTACGCCAGAATGATTTGACATTTAAATATGACTTCCCTACGACTTTAATAGCAAATGTGTATTTCTATTGGTCTGCCTGGATATTTACAACATTTTTATTCATCAATGTGAACATCAAAGGCAAACGTCTTAAAGGGAAGAGAAACTGATCTGATTCATCTGAAAAAATAAAACAAAAACTGTAAAAAATGTTTTCTTTAGAAAAAAATCAGTGTAGAAAAATACAATTTGCAAAAAAAAAATCTGTTTAAAAAGGTATAGAAAAAATAAAGAAAATAGCAAATAAGTTATTTTATTAAAAACTTCAAAAAGTTTGTGGATTGCATTTTTTTTTATATCCATTTACAAAACGTTACCCCACCAAAAACTAGGATATTTTATGTTCCCAGAACTTTAGTGTTTTCTGGAGTTTTTGTTCAACTGAAGGTGAAAAATAGTTTGAACTAAAGGAAATTTCAGAATCAACCGTTTTACTTTGACTTCACTAGACCTGAAAAGATGAATCCAATAAATCGGTCACTGAAATAATCCTCAACTAATTTAGTAAATAATCAGCCTTTAAGCGGCGCATACAGACCCTCTAACCAGGGATGTCCAGAGTGCGGCCTTGGGGCCAGTTGTGGCCCCCAGGGTGGCCCTTTATTTTTAAAATAGGACAACAAACAGTTTGTGATTTTTATTAAAAAACTAACCTGGACAAGCTGATCTATGACACTTTATTAAAAAAAGCAGGATTTTATCAAATCCTTGTTGCTAAAACACAAAAAAAGAATCTAAAATCAAGGAGGTTTTATTTTCTGTGTTTTTCTTTTTAACCTATGAGCATGACTTTGATATTTTCAATATGTGATGATTTATAATCCCTACTCTACTTATTTCCTTTAAGTACAGTGTCAGAAGTTTATCATAGAGCAAGTAAAACTATATATCCATCCATATATATATATATATATATATATATATATATATATATATATATATATACACACACTTGCAAGTTTAATCAAATCAAAATGAAAACTTTTGGCCTGAGTACTTCAACTTTAAATTCTTTTGCCTTCGTGGCTTAAAGGTTTGGAAACAGCTGCTGTATCCCATCGGTTTCATTAGCAAACAACTTAGAGCAGAAATTAAACCAAAACTGAACAAAATATATCTATATTTTACATTTAAGATGTAAAATCTTTGTCTAAAAAACAAAAACAAACATAGTAGTATAAAATTCACCAGTAGGCTTGCCTGCTCCGCCATTAATTACTGGTTAGATGCTGGTAAAGGAGTTAAACTAGAGTTTTAACCAGACTATGACTAGTTTTACCACAGTAAAGAGAATAGTTAACCCAGGTTATCCAGCAGAAAGAGCTTGATGAACAGAACACATCGAGCTGAAAGACTAAACAAAAAGTAGCAGCAAATACAAACAACTTGGACTGAATCCATGGATCTGATTGATCAATTACTGGAAGGATCGTTAACTAATTTAGCAATTGATTAATCACCGACTGTAGGAAACAGACTCCAATACATTCTGTTAGCGGAAAGTTCAACACTAATTACGTCAAAATTGTAAAGATTATATAAACATTTGTTATTTCAGATTTTTGCTCTATTTAGAACTCCTCTAACTGTGGCAGTTTTAGCCTCACCGGGTTTAAATTCAGTATTAAAACTTCTTTAAGGCGCCTTTTTCTATCAGTTTATTAATTTAATCAAACAATTAAAGTCCTACAAATAATATCATCCAATTTACTCATAAAAAACCTCCTTTATTGAGCTGTGTCGGTCAGGAATGACAGCCCGGCCGATGTTAAAGGGTCCATCCATGTTTAGGGAAAATGCCTCTGCTACTTATTTATAAACTACTTTGTTTAGATTTCAGAGGAAAATAAATTCCCCAACAAGGATCTCTGTGGATGTGGGAGGAAGTCGACCTCCAGGCCACCAATATCCATTGAACAGAAGAAGAAGAAGAGCTTCACTGACAAACGTCTGGATAAATAGATCAACGGAGCTTAATATTTCAGTGTAAAGTCATGAAGGTGTTTGGTTTCACTGCATTTGCTGACATCAAAGCAAGTTGTGTCACATGCCAGATACCCGACGCGACAAGTTTGCACCCAAATGACTCTGCTGCTTTCATGTTTGTCGGTAATTATTGCAAGGTTGACACTGTGAGCATGATATGAATGCAAAACGTTCTGAATCCTGTGAGCTTCCTGCAAGGAAGTACCAGGCTAGGATCGCTGATTTATTATCACAAAAAACCATCTGTGTTTATTTTTAGTGTTTCTTTCCCCCATTACTGTTTCAAGCACAAAAAATGAATTGTAAGCCAAAAATGTAACAGAAAAAAAGCAATTTAGCTGTTTTCTCAGTTTTTTTTATTATTTTTATCTTTTTCATATTCTTTTTTTTTCATTTTCTTTTTAGTTTGTGTATTTTTATTATATATATTTTTTATTTTCAAAAGTTTTTTCTCCCAAATGTATTGTTTATAGATTGATTTTTACAGATCACAATCTCATCACTTCGTTAGTAAATAATTAAAGTCGTAGGGAAGCGGCTGTTCCAACCGTTGCATTTTTAAATTCTCCGGAATGGTGCCCGACTTTACACGAGTGAATAAAGTAAATGTGATTGGTCGATTATCAAGGGGGCGGGAATTTTGTGTCGAAAGCATCATGCTAACCAGTTAGCAACTTAGTGCTAGCAGGTTCCCAATGGAAAATTCCATTGGGACCAAGTAGCACTAAATTGGTGACTTAGAAACGACGCTGTCAAGGAACGCTATGGACAGCGGAAACATGCAAGAGGAGGAGAGTTTAGTGTCGGAGGTCGTGGATGAGTCTCTTCCGTCATCCATTTTTTATTTAGAGGAGGAAAGCGGGGACGAAGATGTTGTGGAAGAGGACGCCAGGGCGGCAGAAGCTTGGTTTGGTGTAGAAGGCTTCCAGCCGTACATGTTTGAGCCCTTGCCTCGCAACGCTGCCAGTTCTGTTAGCTCTACGCCTGCCGAAGACACAGACGTCCATCCCCGTGAACACTGGGACGGAACGCAATGGGAAAGGAAATCAGTGTAGAAAAATAAAATTTGCAAAAAAAAAAATAAATAAATCTATGTTTAAAAAAGTATAGAAACAAATAAAGAAAATAGCAAATAAGCTATTTTATTAAAAACTTCAAAAAGTTTGTGGATTGCATAGTTTTTTTTATTTCCATTTACAAAACGTTACCCCACCAATAATGGACAAAACAATAATGGAACAAATCTGACTCCATATTTTTTCTTTTACCAACACATCAGTGGACTGAGGGTATCTGGTTGCCCTGCATCTTATTTTAGGCCATCAGAAGTGGGTCAAAACACAAATGAAAGCCGTCGTTTCCTCATAATTTGTAAACAACAAAAAAATAAATATATGTAACTCCATGTAATAGTTTTAACTTGTGTTTCTAAGGCAACAGAAGTAGAAAGAATTCAGCTCTATGCCAAGGATGAAGCACGGTAGTGGCTGAGTGGTGATCTGGATTCATCCTGCGGTAAATAAATTAACGTTTCTCTGACTATTAAAGTATTTTCCAGTCAAACGTGAAGCCACCTGTTCACCATCTGAACGTGGAAAACATTGCAGCTACGACGGAAAGCAGAAAGGGACAAATTTCCTCTATACGAATTTAACAGCGCTTTCGACGACACAAATAACCCCCCCTGATTCTGCCGATAAAGACAGTTTGTTTCCCAGAAATGAATGAAAATACATGAAGAAGCGTCCCGGAGGTTCCAGCTGTCAGGCAGGTAAGCGGGGAACTCACCTGTCAGGACCAGAGGCAGCCAGGAGAGGAACCACAGCACTTCACTCATCATCTCTCAGTCCCATTTTCTCCTGGATGTTGATGCTTTTCCTCCCAAAGCGGATTAGTCCTTCCCGTTTACCCAGCATTACTCTTTACCAGTGAATAAAAACATATTTATTCCTAAAGAGTCCCGCTAACTCCAGTTAAGTGAGATAAAAACACCCACTCCCCGGAAATGTGCCGCTAGCTTAAACAGGGGCTAACACCATCCGTCTGAATAAAAGCAGAGAAAGTGGAGGAAGTTCCTGTTAGAAGCTCTGGATGCTCTGTTGGAATAAAAACAGAAAGGTTCCAGTCAGGGTCCATCATGGAGGAGTCCAGGGAAACATTCCCACTACGGACGAAGAGAACCGCAGCAGCCCCTGGCAGCCCGTTCACGTACTGCTGCTGGTGCGTTCACTTACATTTAGTTACTTTCTCAATCCCCCTATGATGAATTAAATTACCTTCCCAGTCTGACAGTTAGCAAACATTTTTTTATGATTCTACGGTTCTAGGAGGCTATAAAACTGAGGATAATAATCTAATATTTTATTTTTAAAGCAATTATTTGATAGAATTTCCTTCGAAATTACAATATCCTATTAAATTGAACGCATCATCACAGTAAGCGTCTGATGGGAAGTCACGTGACCGAGAACTGTTTTACACGAAGAGCAGAAGAAACTGGCGCTCCTTAACAGTAAAAATAACACCTAGTTGTTCCTGAGGGCCTCTTTCTGATAGAAAACCACATTCCTAAAATAAATGACTACATCTGAGAAACTACAAGGTTTATTATGATTGTTTTTACCAACATCTTAGTAACATATAATAAATAGGTCTAAAACTGAATGACAAGAAGTGATTAAGAATTAGAAAATATGAATACTAATAAGAAAAAAGTGCATTAAAAAATTTTAAATCTCCTTTGTAATTGTCCAGTTATAAAACAAATCACAGCATGAACTAAAATTAATACTATATATATATATATATATATATATATATATATATATATATATATATATATATATATATATATATATATATATATATATATATATAAACATTTGGGCTCCTGGGTTATTTTTACTGGACTGCACTCGGTCCTCTAAAGTTACCAGAACAGTTTTCCTTTTGGTTCAGTTTCTGGTGAATCAGTAATAAAGCCCTGATGTCTCAGGTTCCTCAAGTTGTCTAAGAGTGAAATTTAACCTCAGTTTCAGACCAACTGAGGAACAACAGAGCCCTAAGATGAATGAAAAACACAGAAGAGAGAAACCTTTAAAGATTTAACTCTTCATTTTTACAAACCTTTATAAATAGATATAAATAGAAGCACTATTCTGATTTGATCACATCCTCTCTCGGTGTTTAATTTTTGGACTGGCCCTGCTGTAGTTCTGACTCCAACCAAAAACAAAGAGGAACTGGAAGGAGAAAAAGATTAGAGTGACGCCAAGGAGGCCTTCCTACCTGCAAGACGTAGAGAGATTGTAAAAAATAGACGCTAAAACTTCGGGAAGCTTATATGTTTCCCTTGACCATTAGATAACTGAGCACCTTGCGCCACTGGGTGAACTGATGCTGGTGCATTTATTCGCTGTGCAAGTCCCAAGAACTCGCTGGGGACTATATACTGCATCCTCTGACCTCAGGGGAAGCTGGGAATATTTTATGAATATTTAGGATGTTTACATTTGATCACTGCTACGCTTTATGGAATGGAAATGTTATGACAATAAAAGTCCTTTTTCCTCTGAGCTATAACTTTGTTTTTAGAGGTGGCTCTACTGCGACTGTTCACTACCAGCTCTCCATTCACAGCTGTTATTTACGTCGTACATTTGCATTCACCAGGGCCGGTCCAAGCCTACATGGGGCCCCTAAGCTAAATTGGATTTCAGGGGCCCTTAATTTCTACCAGCAATATTGCTTGCTGCGATCAGCAGATCACCAGATCAAAAACGCACCTATTATTGTTCACTGTCTCCTGTTTGTTTGCACTGGTTGGTGTTATTAGACTAATAAACTACTATAGTTCATTTAGCGTAAAAAGTGTCATATGTTTTATACTCTCTGGTTCCAACTGCAAGCAGAATGACCAAAGACAACCTGTAGTGCAGGCCAATGACCCCCCCTTTCAGAGGCATAGACCAGTCCCCATTCCTAAGGGGTGAACTTTCTCTTCCAGGTTAATTTGCATGTTTTTTAAACTAAAACAAGGCTTTGTTGGGCTGCTGTATAAAACCTGGAACTCAACGCTATTTCTGACATTTTGAATTGAAAATACTCCCTGGATGGGAAGAGAAACGTCTTCAAACTTGGAAAACAAATCCAGTGGATTGTGTTTTAACTTTCCTGGAATTACTATGACCTGGATGACTGAGAATCTTCACCTAGTCCAACTTAGAATTGGACATCCAGTGTAAGTATACAGCTAATGATTTAATGCAAGATTAAAAGTGTTCAAAAGGCCTCATTAACTGTCCCATACGTATTCGTTATAAAAAACAAAAATGAAAACAATTTCCATCATTAACACACACTTTTTGATTAAACTTGATTAAACAAAGAAATCCTAGAAAACCAACATTTTCTCTAAAAATACAATTTACCAGTTTTCCTTGGAACTGCTCACTGGAAAAACAATCTAGAAATAAGTAAAAATGTCTTTAATTAAGTGTATTTACCCTTAATTTGAGTAGGTAAATGAAATGATTTGCCAATGGAATTAGTGTTTTCACTCTTGGAATAAGATATTTAGTTAAAATGCACTTGAAATAAGACAATATAATTGCATTTTCTTATTTTAAATGTAAATTGTCTTGTTCCATTGGCAAAATGTCTCTTTAATCTTATTAATTCAAGAACAAATGCACCTATTTCAAGAAAAAAATTACTTATTTAGATTATGATTTTTTTCCACTGCTCAGCCAGACACCAAGTCCTGCTGGGAGGAAATTAAACAGCAAAAATAAGTTAAATCAAATCCTATCCGTAAAACAATAAAAAAAATCATGCTTATCATGCAATTGGAAGTATATTAGATATCAGAACATAGATTATGTTTGAATTCCTGTTGCTACATAAATATTTCCTTTTCTTTTTAGAAATGTTTCCAGAGAACAAAGCAGATGGAGGAAACCCACAGGTTCCCTGTAGTGATGTCATCCCTTAAAATCTACGTTTCTCACTGGAACAGGGAGGAGGAGTTCTGCTAGTATGGGGAGTCAGAGCTGCTGCTGACTCACTCGTTCCTTGATAAGTGTAGCAAAAATAAAACAGGAATGTTATGCAACTATTTTACATTCAATGCTGTTCTAACTTTAACAAATAACTTTTGGACTGTCATATATTCTCTGTGAACACACGCCCAACTGGCCTTGTGTTAGAACAACAGATGAAAGAGTTCAGCTCAGACAGAGAACACTGCACCTTTTATTCTATTCAGTTTATTTCTATAGCGCCAATTCACAACACATGTCATCTCAAGACACTTTCCAGTTCACCAGATCATCCAGTCAGATTGATTCAAAGTTTTTTAAGGAAAACCAGCTGATTGCATCGACTCATTGACTCTTCAGCAATCCCTCACACTAAGCATGCTTGTAGCAACAGTGGAGAGGAAAAACTCCCTTTGAACAGGAAGAAACCTCCAGCAGAACCAGGCTCAGTGTGAGCGGCCATCTGCTAACATCTGCTAAATAAACTTTTGTGAGATCTCGCAAAACTATTGCAGGATCTCACAAAAAGTTTATTTTTTCCCCTCCATGTCCCTTTAGGGGCTCCGTAGGAGGGCAGCGGGAGAGAGGGAGAAAAAAAGAAATTGACTGAAAACGCTCTGAACAACAGTTAGCTGCACCCAACCTCTGTTACCTTTGGCTAAATGAGCAGAAAGGGGGAAAAAAAGAGATTATGGGTGGAGACATGTCGACAACAGTCCTTCAAAAAGTTACGCCTGAAACATATTTAAACGTAAAAAACCTTTGACTTTTTATCATAATTCCTAAAGAAACAAAAATTTTCTTTCTTTAGTTTCAGGTAAATAAACTCGTAAGTTTTTGTCCAAACTCTTGCTTCCCTCATTTCACAGTTTTTTTCTAAAATAGATTTAAGAGAACAAGAACGTCAGACTGAAGGTGCTGTAAAAACTTTCATGGACTTTTATTTTGGTACATTTTCACCTTTAAAACAGGTAAGGTGCATAAACATTTATCTGATTCTAAGGCACTGAGATGCATTAAACATCTAATCTGCAAACATAAAATACATAGTTACACAAAAAAAGGAGAAATGTTACTGTGAGATGACAGGAAATACAGACACTGTAAGATTTAAGCACCAATGTTAAAATAAAGGACTGGTTAGGCTGCATGAAATGACAGCAGGAGTCAGAGTCTGACAACCTGAGGATGAGGAGACATTAACGGCAGTGGGATCTATGGTGTATTAAAATGTTAAGCCGGGCTTACGCTGTACGATATCTACAATCGTTGCTCGCAGCTACAGCTCAAACTGTACGACGAAACCTCAGGGTTTAAAAGTTCACAGCTCAGGATGTTTGTTCTCACACTGTGCGGCACGACGCTCTGATGCGATCTACCTGCTCACACTGTACGTCTAAAAACCAGGTGGGACTCAGCTCCGCAGTGAGATGGCGCTACTCGGACTCGTCTATCTGGAATCCAAACGAGTAGAAGAGGAATATGAAGCTCACTAGAGTGAAACGTGCTGACTTGAAAAATCAGACAATTTTGTGTTGAAAGCCCTAAAAAGAAAAGGAGACGACGTATTTGGAAAAAGACATGGCTGAGCTAACGTGGCTACTACGGTCTGTCAATTTGACAGAAAGAACTCCATTTCACTTATTGCCCCCCCGCCATGCTGCTGGGTTTTCCTCTGAGAAGAAGAAGAAGATAAATCTATGGCCGTTTCTTTATATGTGTACTTGTGCGTGCTTGTGTTCTCGTGAAACGTCATCACCCTCAGCCCTAGTACCGTTCTAATTCACAGGAACAGCAGACCGAGAACGGACAAAGTCCCTGGATGTTGTTCTGGCCCCTCCCCCTTTACCCAGCATGCATCAGAACAGACTTATCCGTTCTCCAGATTAACAGCTGTCCCAGAATGCACTGCGGCAGCAGCAGCTTCCAGGTTAAAGTTCTGTTTTCTGTTGCCGTTGTTCAATAACAGTACATTTTAAGATCAATCCAGGCACGAACGCTATACTTCTAAGCGTCACTATATGGCCCCTTTACTAATTTAATGCGAAGTTGAGGGGACCATGGCAACCAGCGGACCTCCGCGGCTAACGGTAGCCAGGGCTAACATTAGCCCGTCTGCAGCAGCCCTCTCTCTGCATAGCAGTCTATGAAGGGCCGATGGCTCTGATGGTGAGTTTCTGTTTTATTTGGCAAAATGTTCATTTGATTTGTAATTATGACTGTGTTAACTATTGTTCCCCCGATAAATTATTATCTAGAGACTATTAATAAAACCAGGTGATATGCAGCTCCAGACGAGCCGAGCGTGTGGTGACATCATGAGTACGCTTCTGTTTGAATTGACCCATATTTGTTCTGTGTGGACTTTCCTTTCGAGTCCATACTGGCTTTCTTGTGAATTCAGAAACGGCCTTTGATTTCAGATTTCAAGCATGTTTGATTTACTCCGAACTTGACGAGTCGTGAGAGGCTGATCGCCCCTCGTTACCCCCTGTACACTACATGACATAAGTCGGCCCGATAGAAAATTTCTCACACGACCGGAGATTTAATTTAATGAAATGAACATTTCAAATCGCAGAGGTGCGTATGTTTTATTAATTACAATTAATCAAAGTAAATGGAGACTATCTCCCTCCAGTCCTTTAGGTGGCAGTATTGATACCACACAGAAGGGAAGGGGTGATTTCCAGCTAGCGCACAGATACGAAAGCTAGATGGAAGCGCCGTCGCTCCCCGATCCATCCCGGATGCTCGATCCGTCCTGCGCCATCGCCTCATTTGTGCATCCAGATATACATCCGGGTCGTCCTCGATTTTATTTTGTTAAAAAGACCTAAATGACACCCCACCCCCATGCTCGTGATTTTAGTGCAAATATAAAAAAAAGAATACAAATAAAATCTTAATTGATAGATCAGATTTTTGGTTTCTGTCCGAAGTGTAAAGGTCTTCTAGTATTGATGAGACTTGGGGCCGCTGGAAAAAAAAAAAAAAAAGTGAACAGATTTTTTTATTTTATTTCAGTAAAATATGAGAAAACAGTCAAAATTCTGACTTAATCTCAGAATTCTGATGTTTTCTCAGAATTCTGACAGCTAACAAACATGTTAGCATTGATCCATTAATCAAATAGCATCACCATCGACCCCTCAGGGACGTAAAAAGTCGCCTGATTCCGTCATTTTCCACCAAAGTGTTCCTGATCCTCCCAAACAGCTCACATCTTTGTCAGTGAAGCTGAGTGCTCCACATCTCTGCCTCCATGGGGCCCATCTACATTAAGATCCACAATTCTGAGATTAAAGTCAGAATTCTGACTTTTTTCACATATTAAAACTAAAATAATATTTAAAACTCAGTTAAAGCTTTTTTATTTTTTCAGTGGCCCTAATCCTCTTCTGTACTTCTAGAGACTGTAACCAGTGTTGTGCCTGAACGCGTTCATTGAACGAAAGTTCCTGAACTCGTTCATATTTTGGGGCGAACGTGAACTGAACGTACTGCATTACTGCCTGATGAACGTTATTGTGAACTCGTTCATTCTGGCGTCTGTGAACGGCACGCTCTCTCAGTTCAACTCCGTTCAATAGGTTGCCAGATTTCTATAGAGCCGTAAACAGGCCTTAATATGTAGCGGGAAATACACCCAATCTGGCAACACCAGCTACCAGCGTCGTAGCCTACAGCCGCGTGCGTCATCAAAACAAAATGCAGCGTGGAAGCCACGGCAGCATGGAGGCGACCGTGGAGGCAACAAAGCAGCAGTATGATCACTTAAAACAGTTTCATGACCAGGTGGTCGGTGAGGATGATGGCAACAATCTTACATTTCTCTGCAAACGTTGCCCGCCGGCTTTCAGTAAAAAAATCCGCACTTCAGAAACCTTAAATTCCTACCTCAGCCTGGTCCCTCAGTTTGTGTTAGTAAAATGTTCTTGAGGGTTTTACTATTCATGTAATTGTTTGTTAAACCTGCCTGGTATAATTTTCCAGGATTCCAGGATTCCTTTTTAGTATGTACTGAAATGGAATTTCAAATTGAAAAAAATATTAAAATGAAAAAAACATTTGCACCTTAAAGACTACTTTCCTGTTTTTCTTTTAATAATTCCTCATAAAAAAGACCATTCAAGCAGCACATTTTTCCTGATGTTTCTGAGAATATACTGTAGGGGTGAAAGCTGCAGCTGCTACTAGTGTGAAGTGAATGGACAGCAACAAAGCGTTAAAGCAACAATGGGGAAATGCTGTCCCCTCAATGCTAATGTAAACCCTGGTTGGATAAGGATTGTAAACTGGATATGAAGATGAAATCTGACGCACAGTTTCAGAGTTACAACTGATAAAGTAATTGCTGTCTGTGGTTCTACAGTAGGCTATGGTGGCATTGAGATATGAAAAAAAAGAACTATGAACTAGTTCATTTTTTTGGAACTGAACTTAGTTCAAAATTTTGAATTATGAACTATGAACTGAACTAGTTCATTTTAAAATGTCTGAACTGAACGTAGAAAGAGAACTTTCCCAACACTGACTGTAACCCTTTTCCTTAACGGTGAGGCGACCTGGAATAACGTCATGTGACGGTTCTGATCGCTCTGCTCTCCTCCTGCTTTCATGGAGCTCCCATGAGGATCGCCAAGAGCCTCCAGCATAAACAACTATAGAGGGTTTCATCTGTTAGTCAGATAGCCGGATAGTTCCTCCTCCTCCCTCCAGGAGTCTGCGTCTCCAGAGTCAGGGAAGACCTCCGTCGGCGGCTCCATCAGCGGTGCAGACTCCTGCTCATCCCGCTCCCTTTGAGAGTCCGTATGGCTCCGATTTAGGGTGTAGATCCTCAGGAAGTCTGTGGAGGAGCTATCAGAGTCCTGCTCCTCCTCTGGGTCACCTTCATCACACGTAGCCATGGAGGCCAGCGTGACGGAGAACAGGTTGACGTCTCCTGAGAGGTCCTGGCTCTCCGTCCTCATTTCCTCCTCATGATGAGTCATGACTCGGACCTGAAGTCCACTTTGATCCGGGTCATGAACCATTCCCGCTTTCTGCTCACGATGGTCCGACTCCACCTGCCGCTGCTCCGCCTCTGCGGGCGGCTCGGCCGTGAAGCCTCTAGAGCTCCTGGCATCCTTACCGAGGTACCCGCTATGATATTCAGGGTCCCGCTGGGAGCCTCTGTATGAAGAGCGTTCTGTCTTTCTGTTTACGTAGAGCTTTCCTGGATAGTCCTCATCAGCATCCTCATCCTCTGAGTTGGCTTCCCCCGTGGAAGGAGCAGTCGCCTTTGGATGGTTCCTCAGATTCACGGTTTGGGAGAAGATGGTGGCCTGGTCCATGTCCACCGTTTTTGGGCCAAAGGCGTCTTCAGGCAACAAAACGAACTGAAGAGAGAGAAAAAAAGAAGCAACTGAGAACCTAACAGAGGTTAGCCAGCTGGGTCAGAGCAGAGGTGGGATGTTCCTGGTCTACAGGGTCAGGCTCTACCAGAGATGCTAAAATGGTTCAATGGGAAACATGGAGGAACATTTGGATCTGTATGTTTTTTTTTGCTTTTCCTTTATAACCATGAAGGTCCGGCTTCAAGGGATTCCCGAGAATAAGACAATTAAAAAGTTAAAAAACAAACGGACTACTGCGGGTACTATTTAATGAAGACACCAGTTGGGGGCCTGTGAGGCGTCTGTTTCTCCAACTAGAGACTCTAATGTACTTATCTTCTTGCTCAGTTGTGCAACGCGGCCTCCCTTTTCTTTTTCTACTCCTCTGAAGGGAGTAGTACACACCGTTGTAGGAAATCTTCAATTTCTTAGCAATTTCTCGCATGGAATAGCCTTCATTTCTAAGAACAAGAATAGACTATCGAGTTTCAGATGAAAGTTCTCTTTTTCTGGCCATTTTGAGCATTTAATTGACCCCACAAATGTGATGCTCCAGAAACTCAATCTGCTCAAAGGAAGGTCAGTTTTGTAGCTCCTGTAACGAGCTAAACTGTTTTCAGATGTGTGAACATGATTGCACAAGGGTTTTCTAATCATCAATTAGCCTTCTGAGCCAATGAGCAAACACATAGTTGCTGGAAATGGGCCTCTATACACCTATGGAGATATTGCACCAAAAACCAGACATTTGCAGCTAGAATAGTCATTTACCACATTAGCAATGTATAGAGTGTATTTCTGCAAAGTTAAGACTAGTTTAAAGTTATCTTCATTGAAAAGTACAGTGCTTTTCCTTCAAAAATAAGGACATTTCAATGTGACCCCAAACTTTTGAACGGTAGTGTATGTCTGCTTCTGTCTCCTTGAACCCCAGTCCTCCTCAGCAGATGGCCGCTCACACTGAGCCTGGTTCTGCTGGCGGTTTCTTCCTGTTAAAAGGGAGTTTTTCCTCTCCACTGTCGCTACAAGCATGTTTAGTGTGAGGGATTGCTGAAGAGTCAATGAGTCGATGCAATTAAATGGTTTTCCTTATATAGAAACTTTTAACCAATCTGACAGGATGATCTGGTGAACTGTAAAGTGCTATGGAAATAAACAAAAATTTATTGAAATTAGAGGATTTTCGCAGATGTTTGAAAAGACTAGCACTACCACTTAAAAAATGCAGATGCTCAACCTTGAATCTGCTCCCTATAGGTAACTATTAATTGTGTGCGAGACCGTGCACAAGCTCATTTCTCCTCGTGCACGCTCTGTTTAAAAGTTGCTGTTTGCATCGCTTACTTTCCAAAAGAAGATATGCATTTCGCTATACCTTTAAAGAATAAATGATTAGGTCTCAGGAAAAACAACATAGTTAAAAATAAATAAATCAATCTTGACAAAATAAGCTGATATTTCAGTTTAAGCAACTTATATTCTCTCCTAAAATCTTCCTCAAAGTTTATTTTGGGGGTCAGAAACCGTGATATATATTTTGGTCATTGCTGTCTGGGCTCGACTGATCCACTTTGACCCGCAATGAATCATCCTCCAGAGCCGTCCTTTAAACCTGGGGAAAGGACACCATCACCAAGAACATTTGGTGGAGGAGCTTAAAAGACAAACGACTGCTACAAACCAGACCCAGTTCTACTGGTTCTGTCAGGCGGGATGGGTTGGAGTCAACGTTTGACCCAAGTCTCAGTTTAACCCTTTAGAGGGCAAGTTACTGTTTTTGATCACTTCCACACCCCTTATAAATGGAGCACCCCCCGGCCCTCAGTGAGGTCGGATGAGGTAGATTTGTTTCCAAGTTTGAAGACGTTTCTCTTCCCATTCCAGGAAACTTTTTCAATTCAAAATGTCAGAAATAGCGTTAAGTTCCATGTTTTATACAGTAGCCCAACAAAGCCTTTATTTTGCTTTGAAAACATGGAAATTGAAACTGATAAACGGGTCCATCCCTTTGGAATGGGAGTTGTTTGGTTTCTTTGTTAGCCTGCAATGCCCCATACCTGTCTATGTCTCTGAAAGGGGGTCGTTAGAGGGGATTGTTGGCCTGGCTCAATAGGCGAGGTGCTCCGCTCTCCTGTACAGGGCCTGGGGCTGCTATGGTAGCGAGAAGGCGGACCCAGCACCTGTACAGGACAGTGGAGCACCTCGCCTATTGAGCCAGGCCAACAATCCACTCTAACGACCCCCTTTCAGAGACATAGACAGGTATGGGCCATTGCAGGATGGGAAGCGAAATGTCTTGAAACTTGGAAACAAAGTCCAGTGGATTTTATTTTTTTAGACTGACTCTGACCTGGAAGACTGAGAATCTTCACCAGCAAACTGGTTAACAATTATATTTAGGTTTATAAACTAAAAATGTGTTTCATTCATGAATTTCTTATAGAAGCGCTTTTGTCATTTTTCTTAATATATTCGGACAAGACGGCATTTCTTGTTATTAAATTGACATTCATTTTTGCCATCAGAACATCCATATTTGTTAAATGTTACTAAGTAGTGTTAATTTCGTTAACGAAAACTAAACAAAAATATTTTCGTCAACGCACATTTTTCACCGAACGAAAACTAGACGAGACGAAAATCCCCACTAATAAACAATAACTGGGAGTAAATCAGAAATAATTTTCGTGGACGAATAAAGACGAGACGCAAATGCAGTTCGGTGAATAAAGACTGGGCTAAAATCTATGGACATTTTAGTTCACGAACAAAGACGAGACGAAAATTACATAATATTATTTTATGTTTTTTTCAAATCCTGTCTCCTCCTCCACCCCCTCCTCGTCAGCTCACCCACTCTCAAACCTGGAGCGGGCGGCGGACACAGAGTAGCCTCAGTGTTGCCAACTCAGCGACTTTGTTGCTATATTTAGCGACTTTTCAGACCCCTCCAGCGACTATTTTCCAAAAAAGCGACTAGCGACAAATCTGGCGACTTTTTACGGTGTCACTGGCGGCTTTTGGCGGCTTTACGTGAAAGCATGTATCGTTCCTACTCTTGTCCTCCAGCGGCAGCTGCTGCCTCCCCCATCCCAACCCCGTTCTCCCGCAGGAGTCCCTCTCAGCGCTGCAGTCAGAGCCGCAGGATGTTTACCCTCAGCGTCCAGACTACAAATAAAACGCGCATGCGCCGGGATTGACGGCGCAAATTGATCACAATAATTAAAACATATAAATAAATAAATAAAACAAAAAGTAAATAAATAAACATTAATGGACAGAAAAAAGTAGCTCTATATATTGTTTAGTAAAGTAAGACTAAAATGTTGACAGTTTTTGTTGACTAAAACTAAACAAATAAAGTTATGTTTTCTTGGACTAAAATAAAGACTAAAATGCTCTGACTTATAGTCGAGTAAAACTAGACTAAATAAAAATGCGATGATGTCGACTAAATGTGATAAAAACTAACAAATGATGCTGAAACTGGACTAAAACTAAAAATAAATTAAAAAATGGCTGGTAAAGTTAACACCATTACTAAGGTAATAAGGTCTTGTCCTGAATTCCAATAACATTATTGGCTTGATGTTGATGAAGGTTCTCAGTCATCCAGGTCATAGTCATTCCGTAAAAATTAAAAAAATATCCACTGGACTTGGTTTCCAATATTTGAAGACGTTTCTCCACCTCTCCAGGAAGCTTTCTCAATTCAAATGTCTGGATCCGCAGTGAGTTTGAGTCTTATATGGACAAGGCCTTGTATTGCTTGGAAACATGCAATGGTAACCGATGAATGGGTCGTTTAGTTCCATCGTTAGCCTGTAATATCTGGAACACAAACTCTCAGTCATCAGAACCTTACAACACCGGGCAGAACATGTCCCTACTAAAACAGATGGGAAGCAAAAAGAACAGAAACACATCAAAGATGCTCTCCGAAACTGTGGATATCCAAACTGGGCTTTTATCAAATCAGCAAGGAAATCCAAAAGACTCGCAACAGAAGACAGCGATGGGAAAATTAAACGCAAAAACATCACAATCCCTTATGTTGCTGGAGTGTCTGAAAAGCTCAAGAGGATTTTCTCCAAACACAAGATCCCAGTACATTTCAAGCCAAACCAAACCCTTAAACAGAGGCTAGTGCATCCTAAAGATAAAACCCCCAGACCCAATATGAGCGGAGTGGTATATGCTGTTCAGTGCAGCGAGGAATGCTCTGATCTTTATATTGGAGAAACCAAACAACCGCTCCACAGACGCATGGCCCAACACAGAAGAGCGGCCGCCTCGGGACAAGACTCCGCAGTACACCTACACCTTGTGGACAAAGGACATTCTTTTGAGGACCAGAATGTCCATATTCTGGATAAAGAAAATAGGTGGTTTGAGAGGAAGGAAGCCATCTATGTTAAGAGAGAAAAACCAACTTTAAACAGAGGTGGTGGACTCAGATTCCAGCTTCCAAAAACATACAATTCAATCATAGACATGATCCCTTCCAGATATCACCAAACCCCCCACCCCATCACAGAGGAACGAGGGACCTACCCCCTCCAGCCGGTGAACAATACCTCCTTAACGACCAACCCTTAACAATCATAGACAGGTTTCAGGTATTACGGGAGACAATCCCCCCCTTAATGGCAATCCCCCCTTTAACGACCGACCCCTAGAATCATAGACAGGTTCAGATATTACAGGCTAACGATGGAACCAAACGACCCATTCATCGGTTACCATTTGCATGTTTCCAAGCAATACAAGGCCTTGTCCATATAAGACTCAGACTCACTGCGGATCCAGACATTTGAATTGAGAAAGCTTCCTGGAGAGGTGGAGAAACGTCTTCAAATCTTGAAAACCAAGTCCAGTGGATATTTTTTGAATTTTTACGGAATGACTATTGGCTTGAAATGTTGATTTCACTGAGTGCCATATAAAGGGTTCAAAGATATTTCTAATAAAACCCACTGAGATGAAGACATATTCAGGACAGACGATGGTTTTCTCACCATGAGGGCAGCGGGCAGGTCCTTCAGTTTACACAGGAAGCCGGTGTAGTAGAGGCAGAAGAAGCCCATGGAGAGGAGGAGCGTCAGGGAGATCAGAAGAACCATGGCGATGACTAAAACCAACATTGCTGCAGAGAAAACATGAAAAAAGAGGAGGAATTTGGTCAGACAGGATACGCCTGATCTAAGTCACGTTATCAGATTGAGGATCGCTCTGGATCAACACGTTACTCAGACTCAGAGGTGGAGAGCTCAGCAGAATCTGAGGTCCAGCTTACAGTTATCGGGTTCTGGGACGCTGCTCAAGATGCACTTCCACTCAGACGGTGGGTTGTTTCTGATGATACGGGTCATAATATGGCCCTGCATGCAGTACTTCGTCCCCTTCTCCAGTTTATCCAGTTTGAAGCTCCAAAGCTCCTCCATCTTTGTCTGCTCCTGGAAACATGCGAGACAAACCAGAGGGTGAATCCTCCCCCGCTTCTGAGTCCACGTTCATAAATGCTGAGTCATGTTTTCTGGGTAAAGCAGAGCAGCCAAACAGCTCGGTCCGGTCCAGAGGTGCTGGTGGTGATTCAGGATTTATGTGTTACAGTAAAGGAGGTTTTTCCTCAATTTTAGCAAAGTGATTAGATCCATATGCCTTTTCAAACAGATTAATCATCTTTAAAGGTTTACCGGGCTATAAACAGAAAAGCTAAATTTATTTTAACATAAAGTCACACTTTATGTGATCAAGAACACCACAACTACAATAGAGTTTCTAGCTAACGCAATAGTTTATGCATGAGGCAGCCATGTTGGATTCTGATGTAGATTATAGGTTAAAGAGCTAAAATCTTATTAGACGCCAGAATTGGGCAATTCATTGCATTTGCATTAATCCCAATTTAACAAAACACAATTTTTAAACTGCAGAGGGGGCAGATTTTTTTTATTTTATATGCTCTAATAATCCCATTTAACCCATCCCCTTGGGGATGCAGTGAGATGCCATCGTGCGGCGCCCGGGGAGCAGTGTGAGGTTAAGGGTCTTGCTCAGGGACCCAGATTGGCAGTCTGTCGGAGTGGGGGATCAAACTCACGACCTCAGGATTCAAAGCCCTATGCCCTAACAACTAGGCCGCCACTCCCCTACTAATGGGGCCACAAAAAATCTTGGGGTGGCCACTGAACCTAAAAGCCATAATTTCAGGGTTCACCTGCCTGTAGAAATTATAAAGACTTAAGTAAAGTTTTACTCAGATCTTGGATTATTGTGGGATTTTTGTTACGTCGCTGGCTGTGCATATTGGGTTGAAATGCTAAACTGATGCTACTACAATTTAAATTTAAACTGGCGAGTGTGTGGCCACCCCTGTGCAATACCCTGGTGGCGCCACTGCACACTACATTTAACAATAGAAAGTAACTAAATTCCTCCCTCCAGTCCTTTAGGCGGCGGTAATAAGCTTAAAGTCGTAGGGAATCGGCCGTTCCGACCGTTGCATTTCCGAATTCTCCAGAGTGGTGTCCGACTTTACGCGAGTGAATTAAGTGAATGTGATTGGTCGATTATCAAGGGGGCGGGGTTGTTGTGGCGGAAGGTTCGCAGGCAATTTTGATTGTGGCCGGTTTCTCTGAAGCTTCTTGCTAACCAGTTAGCAACTTAGTGCTAGCAGGTTCCCAATGGGAAATTCCATTGGGACCAAGTAGCACTAAATTGGTGACTTAGAAACGACGCTGTCAAGGAACGCTATGGACAGCGGAAACATGCAAGAGGAGGAGAGTTTAGTGTCGGAGGTCGTGGATGAGTCTCCTCCGTCATCCATTTTTTATTTAGAGGAGGAAAGCGGGGACGAAGATGTTGTGGAAGAGGACGCCAGGGCGGCAGAAGCTTGGTTTGGTGTAGAAGGCTTCCAGCCGTACATGTTTGAGCCCTTGCCTCGCAACGCTGCCAGTTCTGTTAGCTCTACGCCTGCCGAAGACACAGACGTCCATCCCCGTGAACACTGGGACGCAACTCAATGGGAAAGGAAAGGATTCTGGTTTCAACCGTTGCGTATATTAGCTGCGACACATGAATCAAGATGCTATGACCGAAAACATTTGATTGACAGATGACCGGTGATAAATGATTGGCCGAATTAAGGTGTTCAGGCTGACGAAGAACTAACTGGCCTGCAGAAGATAATGAAAAAAAACACAGATTTTAAAACAAAATTTCTTTTTTTTTTTTTATAGAAATTTTCTAACTTTTGGGACGATATGGTCTGATAAAAAGTACATTTATATACATGTTTAAGCCAGAATGATTTGACCTTTAAATATGATTTCCCTATGACTTTAAAGAGAGTTTGCAACCACACAGACTGTAAAAGACTTGCAACTAGCATGCAGCTAATGCATTTAGCACTTTTTCACACAGAGGACTCTGGACCAGAACTTAAACCTTAGACTGAAATATTTACATATTTATGGTTAAATCTAAATCTAAATAAATTGTTTCAAAGTGAATCCAGTTGAACTTTTTATTGCCTACCTAGAATGGGTGACAATAGTTGAATAAACTTTTGGCTCTCAAAATGGTATTGGTGTCCTATTTGTTGGTACTCGCTGATACCGATACCTCCATTTTAGTGCTGGATCGGTATCGGTGCAACACTAAAAATTATTACATTTTTGTCAAAATCTATTCGCAGCAGAGACTTGAGAAATCATCGCTGCTAAAAGATCTGGGGTCAGAATAGCTAGCTTGTTGTGCTAGCCTTTTCGCGGAGTCTCTTTAAAGCCAGACGTGTTTTCTGTGCTTCCATGAACTCGGCGAGGTAACTGCTGCTTGGCTTGAATCCAGCCATGGCGGTCGGCTAAACACGACGCTGCCTGACTCAGAAGCCACGAGCCGAGTCGCTGGGCCAAAGATTTCACCATGTTACTGCGACTGAAGCTGATATGCTGAGAGAGCTAAAAGCCACCTGTTCACAACACAGAAGCCTGATTTAGCATGATGGCTAGCTACTAGGCTAGCAGCCAGAAGTGTTTGATGACTTTCTAACTGCTTATTTCCTGTCTCTTTGATGGCAGCGGAGATGAAATGTTCACTGTGGCATAAAAAACTATAATCAAAATAAAAAAGTGTGTTTAAGTTACATCATGGCTAACAGTTGTTAGCGCACCTGCTACCAAAGTCCCAAACTCAGAGAGAGCCCGCAGCACTAACAGTTGTATGAAGATAAATTTGACCCTAAGAGAATGGTGGGTGGGCCGATGTTCTCTTAGAGGAGCATACCCGATTAGACCAGCATGCCCATCGTCAATACCTATTTATCCCTTTAGTTTTGTACGAAAAATAAACTTCAAACTACCTCAACGGGTGCGTTTCCCTTTAGTCATGAACAAAAAAACTATTTAATTACTTATTTTTGGTGTTTTGTGAAGTGTATGGTGATCTGACCTTAAATAGTTGTTTTGTACATCACTAAAATGAGATACGCCTGTTGAGGTAGTCTAAACTGTATCAAACCGTGCTATTTCATACAAAACTAAAGGGATAAATGCAAATCTGACATCTTGCATGCGTATTGACTATAGGTTAGGGCGGCCATTTCTATAGCACCAAAAAGGAGGACATTGTGCAGCATATCAATAAATTACTACGGTGTACATAAGAATCGGGTGAAGTCACATTTATAGAACAATTCTTAGTAGTTTAAAGAGGATGCTTGTGTAGCTGAATAGAACAATAATATTAAAGAAATGTAAAAAAGAATTGGTTCCCAGCATTTTTATCTATTTAATACACTGTGGAGTTTAAAAAGTGACCACCGAGATGAATCTTTAAAGTGCAGAATACCACAAAGCATAAGATGCGTTGACTTAAACGTTAAAAAAATATATTTAACAAGAAACATTCATAATAAAATAGCCTAATATATTTTTAAACAACAAAAGATATTGTAGAAAAAACATTTAACTGCTCTAAAAGTATAGCTTTATTTTTAAGAGCCTCAGTCTTTTGGGAACTTATCTTAAGTGTCCGTGTGCAGCAGACCTGAATCACTGAAATCCACTTTCACGTCACAGTCTACACCTACGTAGGTCTAGTGATGTTTTATAGTATAGTCCACCTTGCAGCTCTGCACAAGTTATTTTAGCATCCTGCGACAAAACTTAATGTAAAAGCCAACATTGAAGAGTTCGCTGCTGCACGTTTATTACTTTGTTAATCCGTACTCGCACGCCGTTCAGTTGCAGCTTTTCCTCCACTGCTTACGCCCACATCGCATCGACAAAGTGCCAGAAACCATGGAAGGAATCTTCACTACCTTTGGTCATAAACTCACGCTCTTTTGTCCATTCTGGGTTAAACGATGTCCTGGTTTTGACAGGACGCTAACTTCAATACTTAGCATCAGTAATTTCTGATCCTTGTTTACTTTTGTAACCAATGAGAAGCAGATCTTTATCTGACACGCCGCCACTCTTAGCCAATCATCTCTTATATCAGATAGTGATGCATTTTTGATGATTGGATACTGTGCTGCAGCCCAGAAAAAAAATAAATTAAACTTTGCTCTACAAGCCTAGTGCCTCATAAAGGAGGACAAATAGACGTCCGGCTGGATGCGGCGCCGGACAGTGCAATGAAAATCCAGACTGTCCGCCCTAAAGCCGGACATCTGGCCACCCTACTATAGGTATGCTGGTCTGCTCATCTGTATATTCAGAGCTTTTTTATGAAGCATACCACATACACAGCAGATCAGAATGTACAGCAGAAAACTAGAGGTTATCTTTACATGGAGCCCAGATCTTTATTAACTCCATATGGCTCAAGAGCTTTAAAAGTTTGAAATTGGAGAGGCCTTTTTATGTGTTTTTAGGCATTTTCAGCTGGAAATCCTGGGAACTTGAAGGGGTAAATGTTGATGAGATTACAGCTCCTTCTTTAGGTGCTAATTAAGATGATGAAATCAGAGGAAGTAAGCTGCTATGGAAAGTAAAGCTCACCTGTATTTTTCCATCGTTTTCTTTCTTCCACAGCACTTTATAGTCGGGAGCATACTCCCTCTGGATGAGTGTGATGTTTGGGTGTGAAATGTTCACCTGGATCCACGTGCCGTGTCCAACAGCTGAGAGCGTTGGAGGCCCAAACACAGCTTTAATGATGGACGGAGGAAGAAAAAGAAAACTGGTTTAACTTTGTTTTAATTGTTAAAACTTTAATTTCCCTTCTTCATCAAACAGAAAGTTCTCCCTAACAGCTGCCTTTGCTTTCAGTCCAAACTGATCAGAGGTGTTAAGCAAACATTAATAAAACATTTGAATAATGAACAACCTGCTGGCTGTTGACATGTTTCTATTTAGACAGTGACGTACTTTGAGTGAGAGGTTCAAAGGTGATGGGGTCAGAGCGAGGAGACCGTGAATGGTTGTATTTCGCCCGCACAGCCAGGTTATATTCAGAGTTGAGGTCCAGCTCCAGCCTGTAAGACGTTACGTTGGTTGGTTTACAAAGCTTCTTCCACTTTTCCCTTTCAACGAGCCTGAAGAAATCAGAAACATAACAGGTCATTTCATGTCTGCAGCAGAGGCTCCACATTTTAACTCATTAATAAGCAACAAATCCTGCATTTAAACTTAGGGAGTTAGTTTGCACTCAAATTTAAGATCCTGCACGACGGATTGGGAGTTTTTTTTTTTCAAATCATTTTCCAAACCCGCTATGCCCTTGGAAAGAAGCTTTTGTATCTCAGACTGTCTACAAAGAAAGCTGCTCGATTCCAACGCTGTTTGTGACCCAGACTGGAACAAATAGAAGGTGTCTGCAGAAATCTGCTGGAGGGATTATAAACTGGGATTATTTACCAACGTAAAGGAAGTCTAATTTATTCTCTAGTAGAAGCACAGTATTGTTTAATTAAACCACTACAGATTCTGGATCCTAATGTCATAAAAACAAGTGTTGACTGATCTGTTTTCCTGTGAAAAGATCTTTTATTAGGAGATTCTTTGAAAGTCTCTTCATAGAATAGAATAGAAAATCTCTTTATTGTCCCAGAATGGGGGAAATCCTGGTGTTTACAGCAGCAAAAAGATTATAGAAAAAAATATGTCACACAAATATGGACCTTAGAAAAATGTACTATAAAGTGTTTTAACAATATAAAACTGTTCACCTGGAGAATAAATAACCGTTATACAGCTTTGGCCATTTTTACAGTATAGGATGAAAACCATCCAATGGACTTTGTTTCAAAATTTGAAGATGTTTCTCTTCCCATCCAGGAAGCTTTATCAATTTAAAATGTCAGAAATAGCGTTTAGTTCCAGGTTTTATCCAGCAGCCCAACAAAGCCTCGATTTTGCTTAGAAAACATGCAAATTTAACCAGATAAACGGGTCCAACCCTTTGGAATGGGGGTTGTTTGGCTACTTTTGGTTAAAGGAGAATTCCGGTTTTTAACACTTTAAGCCCATTTTCTGTAGTGTCCAGGATGAAATCGAATGATCGACACCAAACTTTTGACAATTGCTCCTGTCTCTGCTATTTGGCTCATTTAGAATCCCCCCCTGGCTGCTTCAGAATGGCTTCCATAGTGCATGTCCGATAATGTCCTTAAAACAACCTTAAACATTCTTTTTTAAAATATGCTACTCACCGTGTCGTCAGCGCTGTTCAATGACGTTCCAAAAAAAGTTTCGTAAAGAAAAAACGTTCCTGTAGTGTTTTATTTAGCATTTTGTAAATCCCATTGAGTTCTGTAGGAATAGTCAATATTCCGCTGCCACCGGAAACGGGGCCTGTTTACACAGTTGTAGTCTTTTCGCTTCACTCTGTGTACTCCGACGTCGAGAATCAAGAATCCACCTTTCGTATTCCATTTTCAGAGTTTTTTAAAGTGTTTAACAGAGACGTTAGCACCTCGACGTCGGAGTACACAGAGTGAAGCGAAAAGACTACAACTGTGTAAACAGGCTCCATTTCCGTTTCCGGTGGCAGCGGAATATTGACTATTCCAACAGAACTCAATGGGATTTACAAAATGCTAAATAAAACACTACAGGAACGTTTTTTCTTTACGAAACTTTTTTTGGAACGTCATTGAACAGCGCTGACGACCCGGTGAGTAGCATATTTTAAAAAAAGAAAGTTTAAGGTTGTTTTAAGGACATTATCGGACATGCACTATGGAAGCCATTCTGAAGCAGCCAGGGGGGGATTCTGCATGAGCCAAAAAGCAGAGACAGGACCAATTGTCAAAATTTTGGTGTCGATCATTCGATTTCATCCTGGACACTACAGAAAATGGGCTAAAAGTGTTAAAAACCGGAATTCTCCTTTAACCTGCAATGCCCCATACCTGTCTGCCCCCAAAGTCTCTGACAGGGGGGGCAGTTAAAGGGAATTGTTGGCCTGGCTGAACAGGTGAGGTCTTCTGCTCCTCTGTAAATGGGTTGGGGCTGCAATGATAGTGGGAAGGAATCAACTCACTGGCCGCAAACCACCTGTCTTCTTTGGCCCAAATGTGAATATTCTGGTCCTCAAAAAAATGTCCTTTTTTTGAAATGATTATGACCTGGATGACTGAGAATCCTCAGCATCATACAGTAATGGGTATTTGAAAATAGCAGCAACGTCAGAGATGTGCAAAATGACAGCAGCAGGTTATTTAACTGACTTAGGTAGAAACTGTGCAAAATCAACATGAATGTAACAACTTATTAAGGTTGTTGGGAACAGTGGTGGTAATAATGTCTTAAAGGCTGGTTTGTCTGACGACGGAGGGACATGAGGGCCAAAAAGAGCGGGGATCCAGGTGGAAAAAGGAAAAACCTCGCTCTTCTAGCTGCTCCATCTTCACCAGTCGATTTCCACAATGGGGACAAGCCGGTAAGGTTCCAAACATATACAGGTGCTGGTCATAAAATTAGAATATCATGAAAAAGTAGATTGATTTCAGTAATTCCATTTAAAAAGTGAAACTTGTATATTATATTCATACATTACATACAAACTCATATATTTCAGATGTTTATTTTGTTTAATTTTGATGATTACAAATGACAACAAATGAAAATCTCAAATTCATCATATCAGAAAATTAGAATATTACTGAAGACCAATAAAAACAAAGGATTTATAGAAATGTTGGCCAACTGAAAAGTATGAACATGAAAAGTATGAGCATGTACAGCACTCAGTATTTAGTTGGGCCTCCTTTGGCCTGTATTACTGCAGCAATGCGGCGTGGCATGGAGTCGATCAGTCTGTGGCACTGCTCAGGTGTTATGATAGCCCAGGTTGCTCTAATAGTGGCTTTTAGCTCTTCTGAATTGTTGGGTCTGGTGTATTGCATCTTCTTCTTCACAATACCCCATAGATTTTCTATGGGGTTAAGGTCAGGAGAGTTTGCTGGCCAATTAAGAACAGGGATACCATGGTCCTTCAACCAGGTACTGGTAGCTTTGGCACTGTGTGCAGGTGCCAAGTCCTGTTGGAAAATGAAATCTGCATCTCCAAAAAGTTGGTCAGCTGCAGGAAGCATGAAGTGCTCTAAAACTTCCTGGTATGTGGCTGCGTTGACCCTGGACCTCAGAAAACACAATGGACCAACACCAGCAGATGACATGGCACCCCAAACCATCACTGACTGTGGAAACTTTACACTGGACTTCAAGCAACGTGGATGAAGTGCCTCTCTTCTTTTCCTCCAGACTCTGGGACCTTGATTTCCAAAGGAAATGCAAAATTTACTTTCATCAGAGAACATGACTTTGGACCACTCACCAGCAGTCCAGTCCCGTTTCTCTTTAGCCCAGGCAAGACGCTTCTGACGCTGTCTGTGGTTCAAGAGTGGCTTGACACAAGGAATGCGACAGCAGAAACCCATGTCTTTCATACGTCTGTGTGTGGTGGTTCTTGAAGCACTCACTCCAGCTGCAGTCCACTCTTTGTGAATCTCCCCCACATTTTTGAATGGGTTTTGTTTCACAATCCTCTCCAGGGTGCGGTTATCTCTCTTGCTTGTACACTTTTTTCGACCACATCTTTTCCTTCCCTTCGCCTCTCTATTAATGTGCTTGGACACTGAGCTCTGTGAACAGCCAGCCTCTTTAGCGATGACCTTTTGTGTCTTGCCCTCCTTGTGCAAGGTGTCGATGGTCGTCTTTTGGACAACTGTCAAGTCAGCAGTCTTCCCCATGATTGTGTAGCCTATAGAACTAGACTGAAAGACCATTTAAAGGCTTTTGCAGGTGGTTTGAGTTAATTAGCTGATTAGAGTGTGGCACCAGGGGCCATCAATTTTGAACCTTTTCACAATATTCTAATTTTCTGATATGATGAATTTGAGATTTTCATTTGTTGTAATTTGTAATCATCAAAATTAAACAAAATAAACATCTGAAATATATGAGTTTGTATGTAATGTATGAATATAATATACAAGTTTCACTTTTTAAATGGAATTACTGAAATCAATCTACTTTTTCATGATATTCTAATTTTATGACCAGCACCTGTAGTATAGAGCTGATGTAGATTTGACCAATCAGAGGCCTCCTGTCTGCGGAGGGGGCGGGAACGTCTCTACGATGACTGCGACACACACGCAGACGACCTGGTTTCGAAGTATAAATCAGCCTTTGCAGCTGCTGGGAGGAAGGATCTGTGATAACGCTCCCTGGAGCATTTAAGGTGCAGCAGTCTGTCACTGAAGGAGCTCTCCAGTTCAGCAACAGCTTCATGCATGGGGTGGGAGACATTATCCAACAGAGATGTTCATTTAGTTAGGATCCGTCCGTTTCCCACCTCCTACACTTCATAAATCACAGCTTAGTTTATTTTCGTGATGAGAAACTTTCGACCCTGAGAAACAGAACATCAAAGGCACTCGCAGCCCCATCTGAGCCTCATTTAGTTCGTGTTGTGTCTGGGTGTTTTTTTTTTTCAAGGGAAAATGTTGAGTTCCCACACAGGAAGTCGATTCCAATTTAGGAACTTCATCAGTGTGAAACAGGAAACCCTCATTCCACCACAACTGTTTACTGTTCCGATGAACATGGGGAGTTTTTGTTTTTTTAGCCTGATTGCTGATAAAATAAAGAAGAGACGAGAAGGAAGGATGAGGAGTCACTGGAGGCGGGTCAGGAAGGAGGGAGCACTCATAGAACCAGGAATTTCCTCACAGAAATTAACCATTTTATCCATAAACCTGATTGGTTTCTGTCTTTAGGGTCATATTTCTGTGTAAATTTGGGTTCTAATAGAAGTCTGTGAAGGATAGACAGATAAATATCCCTTTTCAAAATTTAAAAGTTAAATGATAAAATAAAACACTTCACTGAGTTTTCTAAAAAAAAAATAATCCAGACGTCTAAAACGGGACCTAAGAATAAAATCCAGGTCACTGATTTCTAATCTTCCTGTTTTTTTGCTATAAAGGGTTTTATTCTGACTAAATAACAAAGATATGACATTTCAGATATTTCAGTAAAATTACAGAATATTTCTGATGTTTAGGTTTTAGGTAGTTTTATGTGT